CAATTCTCACATTTTTGCATTTTTTGATATAAACATGAAAATCTTATCCTATTTGAAACAGCATTATTATATAGTTCATTAAACCCAGTTCCTCGCGTGGGTTTTACGAAAGCCAACACTGAGTAATCCTCGTTCCACCATATGTAAATACACGCTTTGTATTATCGAGTATTTGCTTTTCATAATTGATATTAATTTATTGAGACACTTCAATGGGATCATGATAAGTACTATTTGTAAGCATAGACTTAAGAGTTTTATACGGCGACCAGTGTCCTTTTGCGGGTTGGCTGAATTAGTTTCAAGTAAACAGTAGGGTATCGAAACGATCAAATATTTAAGGCAGTGGTTCCCAAACCGCGACCCAGTTGCGGCCCGCGTAACAATTCAATATGGCCCGTCGAACTGGGTTGAAGTAGTTTACCACTTTTTTTTTTTGTGGGCGGATAACGCTAATTGTTACATCATCATTACAGTTTAATCACGTGTATATTCGTAACAATTCAATTGCATCGGTATCTTAATTATACGTAACGGTTCCGGTACTGGCTTCTTGAGTGCGCTCCCCTTTCCCGCCACGCAAATATTCTCGCGTTTCTAAATTTTTGCCCCTAGTCAACTAACTTTGGGAACCACTGACTTGAAATAATCTAGAATGGACTACGTTGCGGCCAATGATATCTGAATATTTCTGAAGAGTTACTTTTATTTTGAAATGATTAGAATTATTCCGCTCCGGTATTCCCTGCTCATGCTTGGCGAGATTGGGCGCATATGTCATAGTCATACTTTATTCATATATGCAATAAACTGGATGTTATAATATTGGAATGAAACTCCCCAGAATAGTTTAAAACAGCCAATTTTTTATTCAGAGCCATCCAAAATGATTGAAATTAAATTTTTTAATTTTAGTTTATATTTTCAATTCGTATTGATTATCTTCGCAGACTAATTAGTCATTCCTAATGAAAATTCAACGAAGTAAAACTGCAAAAAAATAAAGAAAATGACGAAATGTACGCGGCATCAGCATGAGTTGTATTTATCAGCCATCCCCGAATCGTTGTCAACATTGGCCCAAAACAATTAGGAACATGGTAGTGCAACTAAACGTGTTTTCAGGAGTGTAGCCAAGGATTGGCTAAGGGGGTCTGAAAGTTTTAGACCAGTGGGGGGAACAGGCGGCCCGCGGGCCACAACCCGGCCCGTCAAGACAATAAGTGTGGCCCTTGTCAACACTCAGATATTTTCCCACTAAGCATCAAATTTTACCCTGGCAGTTTATGTTTAAAAAAGCGCATACACGGGTGAAAATCCATAATTTTACGGCCATTTTGCCTTTATTACTGTAAGACTAAGCGATAGCCTTTTTGTGGTAAGAACTTTTTAATTCATTGTGTACCCGAAAGATGTTAATTTTTTTGAATGGCCCGGTTAGATTTCAGAAGAAGTTCATATGGCCCGCCGACAAAAAATATTGCACACTCCTGTTTTAGACCGTAACTGCTTGCGGGTCCGGCAGAAGGCCAAAAAACGTGGATTTTTAGAGTCAATAATCTTGCTAAAAAGCGTTCCAAGCTGTAAAAAATTATGTGTATGATACAGAATAAGGATTTTTTAGAATTAAAAAAGACTCCCCCTCCCCCCCAAGCCCAACCCTACCTTTGTTTTGCGTAGTGATTTAAAACGCAGGATAGAACTGAAATATTGGATCAAGACACAACTCGCAATTTTCTTGGAATTATTGTGCCGTAAAATGAATCGTGTGAACGACCTTATTCACTCTTTGTTATTTACGAGACCTAAATCAAATATTGACCAATTCTAACGGCGTCAAACTTTCATTAACTAGCGAGTATGATATATTTATTACCGTAAAAAACAAAGCTTCGGTGCTTGGTATGGAAAAATGTTTTAAATATTGCCAACTTTAAGACAATGAATAGCGTTGTTACCAGTCTGATTCATAGTAAAGCGTTTCGACGATTCTAATCATGCAAACTTTATTAGGGAAAATAATGAAAACATTTTACTATTTTACATGGAATGAACGATGTATTTTAGCCAATGTTTCAGTTACATAAGGACTAGAATCTTTCCAGCCGGATATTTTATAGCGATGTCCATTGCTCCGGCCGATAGACCAAAAACAATATAGGAGAATAAAAACAAGTACAAATATCAAAATACTATATATTCCCTATCTTGGCTTGGTTTCGAGTTTGTTAGAAACTTTCTGCACTTTCTGCACCAGCACTTTCTGTGCTCAGGAAAGCCAGGATTCAAACCCAAAGTCCTCAACTTTAGAATTATAATATTAATGTTACCTATAATATAATCGCACAATTAGGGCGTACAGTTCATTTGCTTAATGGCGGACGTATTAAATCAAAATCCGTATATTATCTCATCCGGAATTGACAGAATTAATTCTGCATTTTATGGATGAGTGAACAAATTAGTCAGTATATAATCGATCCACATTCATATTTGTTAACTAATGTAAATATGAAATATTGAATATTAAAGATGTCCAATGTAGATGGAGAATCAAAAAAACAAAATTAGGCGACTTTTTGAAAACTGTTCTTTCCTGTAACAACCTAAATAATTAGGGTTAGAGTCCCATTCTAAGTGATTCAAGAATCTTGCCGCGCAATAACGAAAATATAGTTCTGACTGTTTTCGCAACAAGATTTTCGGATCAATTTGAATTTCAAAGTACTGGAACGGTGGCCTAGTGCAGAAGGGAAAAAGGCTTCTGGAACGGGAGCCAAAACTTTTGCTCACCTGAACTGGGATGCCATGTAAGGGTGACGCAAAAAGTTACAATGATTTTAGTTTGATTGTGGCAACATCCGACGGCCGAGATTGAATTACTCAACGGGCCGGATTTGGCCCGAGAGCCGTAGTTTGACTATGTCAGGGCCCCAGCGAGTAAAGCATCGGGCATAACTATGTTCGCATAGCAAGTTAAGATGGCGGCAACACCACCCTGTTTGCCGGGCTTGGTCCGAAGAAGGACCATACATAAATCAAAAATAAGATACAATTCTCAAAAAAACATTCCGATAGGCTAAGCTAATGGAAAATGTCATGATCTCTCAATTAAAATTTTTGTATTTCTTCGCTATTATTTTGTTTAGTTTCCTTAAGAATATTTACAGTTTTCTATACAATAAATAAATTTTTAAAACGCCACAAAGCTATATCCAGCTACCTGCTCTTGAATATTTTATTATTTAACATGTTCGAAGATTTTATCTCGGGTTTCTGAATGTGGAAACTATGCACAAACTAAAACTGTTAAATATTTTATATGGGTCGACTTTAAGGTCAAAAAACCTCAAGAACTAAAATATGGTTATTTAAAATTTGCATGAAATATTTTATATTTTTCGGAGAAAAAAAATTCTACTGATATTGTAAAGCACTAAATTTTTGTAATTCTACCCGGCTTGCCTATCACTTAAAAAAAATATGTAACGAGCCAGTATAGCTTGCCCGGGGCCTAGTTTTGAGCAGACTTCTGTAAAAAATCACTAAACTAACGTTTATTTAAGTGTAATGTGTGTTTTCCGAAGCTGGTTTACGTATCTGCTTCAATTTATTGCATTCTGTTAATTTATTGATATAATTTTCACAATATGACAGTGCTCTTCAATCTTTCTGTTATTGTGGAACCCCTGATATAATTCTTCAATTTTTATGGAACCCAAATTAACAAAATTAAAATAAAACACAAAATACTCGTAACACGAAATATTTGTAATTCAACAACGAAACAGAAAGATTGTAAGTAACAAGAGTGAAATTCAATGACTAGGTTGTTTTTGCATTTTCTTTGCAATCTTCTTGAATTCTCATACTCATGTCTACACTTTTTAAACAACTTCGCAACGACGCATCAACATGCTGAAGCAAGAAATGATTCCCCCTAAAAAAACGCGGAACCCCTAAAGAACCCTATAAACTGACAGAACCCCAATGCATGCATTGCGGAACCCCTGTTGAAGAGCACTGCCATATGACGTCATATGGTGAAATGGCTTTGTATATTTGCTAAATTTCATTCATATAGTTTCCCACCATATGACGTCATAGGTTGAATTGTTTTATGTATTTGCTTAATTTCATTCAGAAAATTATTCACCATATGACGTCATATGGTGAAATGACTTTGTGTATTTGCTTAATTTCATTCATATAATATCTCACCAACGGCGCCATCTTTGATTTCATTTATATATTTACTTTTCTATATTTGATATTTGAAAAGATTTTCTTCAAAAGAACTTAATTAATATAAATTTTACAAAACATTTTGTAAGTAAAATTAGGGGTTACCGAGCAACGACCGTGCTGTGGCTTCCAAGATAGAACATTTTATTCATATAAATGCAATAAATGGAATGAATACATTTTAATTATGATTATGTTGTCTTCAAAAAACTTCTTGGAGGAATTAATTAGGGAATAGTATTGTGAAGGAATGGCACATTTGTTCATGAAAATGCGATATACACAAGTTGCATGGTATTATAAATTGGTCAGTTCAGATATGGCCATTCAAATGGAAATGGCGACTATATTCCAATGTATAAGCCCATTATTCCTCTACAAAAAGAATCATTCAAATTGAATATATGACCATATATCCATCAGTATCCTAACACCCGCTGTATATATGACATCTCAACATGCCTTTTAAGAAGAAGACTTTTCAAACAGGAATTGGGAGCATATAACCACGCCTATTGCCAAATTTTCATATAATACTGATTTGTGATTGGATGGATTGGGTTTCTGAGCCACGCCCTCTAATTTTTCATCAAAATTTGTACTGTCTATAATTCAAGCTAAGACACCGAAGTTTGTGGCCGCATCAGGTCATCAGGTGTGGCCGCATCAGGCGGGCAATATTGAATTACTCAACGAGCCGGATTTCGCCCATGTCATGTCTATATAGTTAAAACTATAAAAGTATTTGTACTCACATTTGACATGGGCCCAACATATTCCCAAGATAAACAGTTGTAAAATCCATTTTGTATTCTTTTTCATTCTGTATATCACGTGATCACAATTATCATTTATTAATTTTCTTCATCAATAACTATCGACCTTATATCATTTATTATTTATCTATTTCCTGGAAATGTAAAATAGTAAATGAATTAGACGGTAGATCAATTTCCCTAGCTTTACTGATTACCACCGCAAACACCCTGAGTGTGAAGAAAATTATAATAAAAAACACAAAATTTTAAACCAAAAAACTATCAAACAAACAATAAACAATATCAAAATAAACATCGATTTCTAAGAAGTCGCCATTTCCCTTTCAACGGGTTCATATGTTTATTAAAACACAACGGAGATTATTATTTATATATTTCCTGGAATCGTAAAATAGTGAATGAATTGAAAATTTTTTAAGTTTTCAAACTTTCGAACAATAAATGATATCAACATAAACACAGACAGTCCGAAATTTTAACCAGCGTCAACAAGATAATGAAGTCTATCACTTTGACTCACTAGGCCACTGGTCATCGCACCCATCTTGGGGGTAAAAAAAAATTAACATTCATTCCAACTTAAAAACTTTGGAACAATAAACAATATCAATACAAACATCGATTATACGAATGCGCCGTTTTCCTTTCAACTGGTCCATATGTTAATTAAAGACAACGAAAATTACATCGTTAGCACGCGAATGTTAATTGCTCAATTAGCAAGGTGCTACTTAAAACGCTTGTTCTTTTAATTATACTTTTAGGAATACCCGTGAAATGAATTATCTTTCGATATAAATTGGAAAGGGGTTATCATAACGAAGATTTAATAAAATTTGGAGATTCATAGAAATATTCTATATGCGTTTATTATTTCGTCTGACAAAATTTAAAATTATCTGAAAAAAAGCGATTTTTAACGATATTGGCTTTGTTTTAGAATAGTGGTCTCCAAACCGCGACCCGCGGACCAATTACGGGTCGCGTAACGATTTAATATTGCCCACCGAACTTAAGTAAAATAATTTATCACTTTGTTTTTTGTGCGTTCTAGATACCGCCAATTGTTACGTCATCATCACAGTTTAAGCATGTGCATATTTGTAACAATTGCAGTATACCGGCATCTCAAATATACGTACCGGTACCAGTATCGGCCTTTTGCGGGCGTTCCATTCTCTCGGTCCGCGAATATCGTCACGCTGCTCTAAACGGTTCAATATATAATTGTATTTTTTCAATTTCTTCACTATGTTCCTCACCCCCATTGTCTGATTTCGCAGATTTCTCAAATTCATGAATCTACAAAATACTAATGCAGACTCTTTAAAATTACTCTGAATACCTGACTATATTTTTGTCACAGGTTAAAAATACGAGTCGAGGTCTTGACAGCTCCGATTTTTTGTCAGTTGTTTTTAAGTTGCATTAAACATTGTCCCAATAACCTTGTATTTTGCTTGCAAATTTGCAAACTTTTTGGAATACTAATGCAGACTTCGGAGCTATCAGATGTGTGCCAATATGGAGATAACTAATTTTGTTCGCCTACTTTACATCGAGTTGTATTACGGGATTGAAATCTATGAGCAGGGGGTATATTCACTTGGCTAACACAGACATTCCTCGAACTTATAATAAATCTAAAATAAGGAAAATCGGAATGAAATTAAGGCCTAACCCTAATCTGGTGCTTATACTACGGGAGTACCGACTTCGAAGCCTCACTTAATTAGCGAAGAAATTACTATATAATTGTTTGAACGGTATACTTGAAAGAAAATGTTAATTGACATATAGGTTTATATAGAAGATTGATTCGAAGGTCGATTTGTAAAACCATAAATGATTTGAATATTGGTTTCCTGGAGTTTTGAGACAAATTTGTCGCCGACAAGAAAAAACGGGTCTTCGAGGAATAATATATATACAATATAAATATAAGTTATTTTATAAATACGCTGCATAGGCAAAAAGCCCTGGTCCATTAAAAAGCCACTGAATAAGCCCTCCATTTACAGATGCATTTATAAAATATTTTATATCCATACGTTGAGCAAGGCCCTATAAAAGTAGTCACTGAAAAAGTCGGCTTGTATGAGATGTTTTATATATACTATATTCTTATAAAGTATTCTGTCTATCTACGCTGCGGAGAAGGCTAAAAACGAGTATGAAAACTTCGATTTTTAAAAAATTTTCCAACCATTTAGCTTTAAGTTTTATTATATATATATATTCTAACCCAGATCATACAATTGAGAATCTCGACTTTTAAATCTTAATACATCTTCACACAACTCATCTATCACAACCCAGATCTAACTCAGGTTTTTACAATAACGATGCTTCAATTTAGTTTCCGTATTTCAGGTTTTTGCAAAAAAAAGGTTTTCTTCCATATAATTGCTCTCACGAATCTGATTATCAAAGCTTACTATAATCATTTGCCTAAAGTTATATACAGGTTGTCCAAAAATTAGCCAATTTTATAGTATTAATATTTGTAAGTTTTGTAAATTTTATTATATGATAAATGAGAACTACAAGAACAACAAGAACTTAATAAACAAAGACAAAAATTTTTAATTGGTAATACTATAATGATTAGGCGAAATTTTTTTGGCACTCCGTGTATATTCTATCCCAGAACATACCATTAATCCCACTTCATATACCTATTCTAACTATCAGTCCGCGCATGCTTAACGAAAAAAATCCGTGATCTAATATAATTGCCCTTCTGACCCGCTCGCGTCAATACAACATGTACAACTAACTGTACATTATAACAAATGACCGATACCATAGATCATTGAACCCCTGAGGGGATGTAGGCTCATTATTACGTCATTTTATGCATGAGTAGATAAGTACAAATCGATACAAATTCTAACAGACAATCTTCAAGTGTGCTGGAAGGACGTTCCATAATGGATGTTGAATATCGATTTGAATAAAAATATTGACGGGATTGAAAAATCTTGCTACACGCTCTGCTAATTATATTTTTGTGATGTATCGCTTTGCAATGTAAGAATGTGGTGCTGGGTAAAAAAGCCGCAAAATTGACTCGCCAGGCAAGTTCAGGTTCGAAAACACTAAGTCAAGTGTCACACACAATTACGTCTCACGGGGAGTAAGCCCTTACAAAAATATATTTGTGTTAGTGTGCATTTCTTGAATAATTATCTCCATTCTTTCTACAGCACCATAGCATCATACACACACGGATCCACACAAAAGCATAGAGAAAGAATACGTATTTAAACTCGCTTATCTATTACCATTTACCTAACAGTACATTATCTATTATAATAATGTACTAATTGCCTTGACTGACTGCAAAATGAATTTAGAAAACTGGTATACAACAGCGGGTTGCATCCTGCGGCTCGCGTGCCAAGTACGGCCCTCAAAGAAAAATTGTTTGGCCCGCGGAAATGTACCAATTTTAAATGAGGTGCGGCCCGCGAAAAGAGTTTTTAATTTAATTTGGTACGTACGAGTAACTCTAATGCCTTTGCGTTGCGAAGCCTATACCTGGGTTCAATGTGTTATCTATGCCTGTACAATGCCTCACTCAACAGCTAACTTGTGCAAACAAGGTATTTCACAATATCATTAAGCAAAAGTTGTGCCTGCAACTACTAGATAGCCTTTGTTAAATAAAGGTACCCCACGAGGTTTCACCCAGTTATTTCTATCTGGCCTGTGTTGAAGGTTGCACACGCCTGGTATACAACACTATATTTATATAACAAAATCATTATCGTGACTACAGTAAGTCAAAACGTAAGGCCGTGTATTACAAAATTGAATGTTCGATTCTGAAACGGTTCTAAGCCACAAGAATCTTTGTTAAATCGCTATGCGCGCACTTTAAGCCAAAACGAACGGCCAAATGACGCCAGTAATTAGTGTTATCGCGAATAAAACTCGGTTAAATCTTTTTAAACAAACAATTTATAGTCAACATATGGAACGCAGAGACGGGATTAGAGAAGTCTTGTTAAATTTGCATGAGGGGGATGTCGTTATGTGTGATGTAATGTCGCAATGGCTTTAAGGTTTTTGACGGTACTCCTGTTGTCCTGTAGTATGTGTACCAGGTTAGGGTTAAGTCATAATTTTATTCATATTTTTTTTATTTTAGTGTATTGCGTGTTCGGGGACTGTTTGTGTTAGCTAAGTTAATATACCCCCTGCTCATAGGTTTAAGTCCCCTTTACACAAATTGATGAAAAGTAGACGAACAAAATTAGTTGCCTCTATATTGGTACACATACTTTTAGAGCGCTTTGCTACTTTCTCCTTTGAAAAACAAATTTTTTGGCCTCTGCTTCGTTCAAATGAGACGTCAGGGCCTAGCATTTTCATTCAGCTGTTCATGACTTTACTTTCCTACAAAAATCCTATATTTTATGGACTTGTGAACTTCTAACTTATGAATGGTGGCCCAAAACTCGAGCAAGTAACAATTGGTAACTACATAGCCACCCCCATTTCTAACATTCTGTTATCCTTCCTAACCTTCTGACAGCTCAATAGTTTTCTACTGTAGCATTTGTGACCCTATATACCTCCATATTTTGAACATGGAGTCTATATTGCAGCTCAATAATCCCTTCAAGTAGAAAGCCAACCAAACGTCGAATGGGTCATAAAAACCGCCTTTGCTCCTGACTGTACACGTTTCTCCGCGGGACAAATCTGGAATTCCTAAATTTTGTGTCCAATGTCTAAACCGATAAAACTAGTCAAATAAATTGCTTTTACACAAATAATACTCTCATTAATCTCAACTCTAATGCCAAGTCCTGACCATTTCTAACATTGTTACGTGACATAGGTTACCTTTTATCAAAAATTGTCACAATTAAACTTCAAATTCGTCAAACGCGCTTATATTAAAAGCCCGACCGCCCACACTCCCGTATATATCACTTAATAAAACATTTCTCAAACAAGATGAAATCATCAAAATGTGGCAACCGTGGTCCTGGTTGGATAGCGAAAGCTTTCTATTGACTTAACATTAGATTGTTCGCTTCAACAAATAGTCGATAAAAGAAAAAGCGCAAACGCGAGTATCTCAAAATTTGAAAATGGCGTTGTAAAATC